GGTAAATACTATGTTTATGATAAACAGTATTAACAACATTTGTCGAGAAATTTCGGAGGATGCATATTTTCTATGAAATTTCTCGTACATTCAGGCCGGTAGATGTTGTTAATACTGTTTATTATAAAGAGAGTATTTACTTAAATATTTGTGACTTTATAAATAACGTATGACAATAAAATATATTTTTAAAAAATGTACGTATAAAAACATTATATACATTACGTGATTTAGAAGCTTCTAAAAATCTAACGGTTTTTTTTTTAAATAATAAACGTTAGGCAAGCAAAAATAATATAAAACAAGAGAAATTACGAATTAGCCGTACATAAACAAATACAAATATCAAAAGTTTGTTAATTTTAGAAAAAAAAGTAGGCGAAAAAAATAAAAATATAAATCTTGATGTAAGTCTAAAACACGTGAAGATTATAAAGTCATTGTATAATAAAATAATGTATACTGACTTTTTGACAGTATTAACACCTAAACTATGAATTGATAAAAACAAAATACAGAACGGGAGTGGAAACTGCAAATTGGATAAATATATCTTTAGGCAAGCAAAAATAGAAAGTAAAAATAAGCCAAATGATCTTCAGGTTAGTTGTACAAAAATAAATAAATACTAACACAAAAACAAAACAGATAACTGTTGAAAAAGTTGCAAGAAATAATAAATTACACATATATAACTTAAAATAAATATAATAATCATAATATACATAATAAATGAAATAAAAGAAATAACCATTGCGAATTAGCTTAAATTATTATATGACTTTTAGGCAATATACAGTAGCGGCCATAATATAAGGAACGGAAACAACAAAGACATAAATATGTGTATTACTTAAAAAAAATGCGTGATTAGCAATTAAATTTTTACCGAATAAAGATTAGGGTGTAATGCATAAATATTATACAAAGTTACAAAAATGTACATAATATTTTTTTTTTAAATAAAGATTAAATGGAACAAAGGAAATTTCATTGCTAATCATGCATTACTTTTTAAGTAATACACATATTTATGTCTTTGTTGTTTCCGTTCCTTATATTATGGCCGCTACTGTATATGGGATTTCTTTTTCAGTTAATCTCATTATATTTGGTTGCTATCGTTAGAAATAAAGAAAAGAGTGATGAACTTCTATGTAATTCCTAATTACCAATATGATAATGAGTATTGGACTATGGCTTCACAGATTAAGAAGAGATTTGCAGCAACTGAGATCAGGTTCTACAGAAGGTGTCAAGAACAACAAATAAACTTATCCATATAATTAGAAAGCGTGTTAGAATTTCTGAGACGCATAATGAGGAAAGAAGGCCTAGAGAATTTAACACTCATATGTCAAATTCAGGGCACAAAGTGGTAGGTGACAACTGAGTGATCTACTTTTTTTATTTCTTAATCATTTCAACCCAAGCAAGGCAACAGGGCGACTAAGACGCAGAAGACGGTTACCGAGTGTGAAAGAATATAAGAAAAAACACAATTAACAGACATTAAGAAGACAGAAGATAACGACTGACAGCGCATTTAAATTTTTGAATATCAAACTTGACTGGAATGCAAGAAACCGGAAGAGAGTTCCACAAGCGAGAAGTGTGAGAAAAGAAATTATTAGCATAGAACTTACGGTTAACCAGTTTGCGCAAATGAATCTCAGAATAATGACAAATGGGGTTGGCAAACGGTCAAAAATACTTAGAGTAACAAAAAACAAAAAATAGCCATTATCGGCCAAGTTCTTCATGAACATAGCAGCTAAAATTTGATATTCTTATGTTAAGCATAATCTGGCTAAGAGCCGTATTATTGGAATATGAAGTAGAGATCGAACTCACATCAACGAATTAGAAAGACGAACTATATAAACCTCAAATAGGGTCGATCATAAAAATTCACTGTTTAGGAAATATCATAATTTACATTGTTCCTATGTTAATTAATAAACGCATGTGTTACGTCCTGCCATTACCTCAGATAAATAAGGGACAATTCCGCTGTGAGTGTACTGAAAGACGGAAGAATAAGATATATCAAAGACATCTTTTTCATTTGTACCCTCTTACTTCTTTAAATAACAACCGGTATTCATGTTTATGAAAGTGATTACAATATTTTGTTAAAGTTGTTGAGCCAAAATATTTAAGAATGCATTTGGAGAGTTTCCAATGGTCAGGAAACTCGTTATCATCTTTTTTACTCATTAACTTAATAATTAAGATTCCCCAGAAAATTGAATAAGAAAAATTTTCCGGGTATTGCTCGTCAATTTTTAATTAATGGATAACATTAAAATGGACAGGAAGTGGGGTTTCCTTGTGTTTGAGATTCTGGTGTATTTCACAACGAGACTAACGTTCAGCGTTCGTTCGATCTCATCTAAAAATTAAGAACTGTACATTTTTTTTTCCTGAATCCCCGCTCAGGTTTCGCCACAATTCCCCGTGCGAAAAAATAATCCCGTGTCAGTAGCAGTTGGCATTACGAGAATCGCAGGTGTTCTTCGGGGAAAAGCTGATCTCAAAGTATTGAATAGCATTTCAGACTTCAAAAGAAGTCAGCGAAGAAACATTTGCCGATTGAATCGAGCTGGATACTCAAGTGTTTTTGCACTAATGAAATCTATCTTTCAAACACGTTCACTTGATATATAATCGAAGATTATTATGACAGAATCCACAATGTTCATACAGTACACTCTGTATAGATACACCCCTTGCACACACACACACACACGCGCGCGAAACACGCACACACACACAAAAGACACACACACGCACGCACACACACACACACACACATATATATATATATATATATATATATATATATATATATACAAGAGATAACGATGTATATTTTTATATATCAAGAAAATGGGGAAAATATATAACAAAGTGGAAAAAGTTTTCTTGTTATGCGTTTTGTCCTTTAGAAATTTATCGGGCTAAATTTGTTATGTTGCTGCGAATACACATGCGCACGAACAAGGGATGCTAGGATTTTTTTTTATCTAGTTGATTTTATTAAAATTCTTTATTCTTTTTTTTTCCATCACTTTTGTTATTAGATATTGCACACTGTGATAATAGAAGATCTGACAGGAATGGCGGAATGTTGTTAGAGCCAGGGCGCAAATTTTCCACAGATGATCTTGCAATCTAGGCACTCTCTAGACATTTTTGCCGTAGTGAATTATTTACTCTTTTGATCCGAGTATCATTTTTATTTCAAAATTGGGGTCAGTCTCGTTACGGTGGGCAACCAACACTTTTGACGTATTCTTTTGTAAAATGTTCCTTTCGTGTTCATATAATCTTTTATTTAGATTTCTTGAGGTCTCTCCTATGCATTGTTGGTGACAATTATTACTTTACGGGCGTATGTGTAATCGCAGTAACATAACAAATTTTGTTAGATGAAGTCCCAAAAGACGAAACGCGTCACAAGAATTTTTTTTTCCACTTTGCCATACGTGTGTGTGTTTGTGTGTGTTTTTGATATATTTCTGTTTATACGCTATGTTTATGAATACAACTTATTTGAGTAAATCCTCTTTTTAAATGAAACAGTATTAATTACATTTACCGGTCTAAATTAAAACAGAGTATTTACTCAAATAATTTGTATCCATAAAAATAACATATAAACGAAAAATGTATTAAAATATTTGTCGAATTTAATCCATTTAATATAATATATATATATATATATATATATATATATATATATAGAGAGAGAGAGAGAGAGAGAGAGGGAGAGAATTTAAAGTACGCTTAAACTAAATGTATCTATAATATGCATCAAGACAATATTATTAAGACAATATTACGTTTAGGAATAAACAATTAGTAGTATATGTCCATTGTAACGTTAATATTTTAATGATTAATTAGACATTCATTGACCAAGATGCCTGTGCTAGTGTTAGTTGAAATTTATAAAAATCTTTCTATTAAAACAATTTTTAAGATAAATACATTTCTCAAGTCCACTCACTTTACGGAACTGGTAGTGGCTTCCTCTCTTACATTTTTTTTCGAAGTAAACTTAAACGTCAGCAGCTTCATCCTTTTTTATTTCCTCTTCCAAGTTACATATTGTTATGGGACCTTACCCATAATAACATAATGGACTATTCCATATGTAATAAATACTGCGCCTCAAGAGGAAGCAGGGAGTTCAGTCTGAAGTCTGGAGTGAGGTCCGTCAGGAGTCTGTCTGTCAGTCAGTCAGAGCGAGCGAGTCAGTCAGTCGAGTCAGAGGCAGTCCGAAACAGAGTCGCGTTCAGACAATTACTACAAAACCTGATTGTTCGTACTAACACTTTCTACTTCTCTGTATATATTCCTGTTTGTAATATATCTGTGTTATTCCATATATAGTGTTCGAGTTCTTCTTTATTGGTTCTACCTTGGACTATCACTGTGGTAGAAGGGACCGGACCATAACAGTGGCGACGAGCGATTCGAACTCATTCGGTGGAAGAAAAAAAAATTGTTCGACACAGCATAACACATATCTTATCCATTTTGGTTGTTGCTGGTGTCGAAAGACTTTACTAGTTAACTTCTCGGAGCTGACCACTAACACCGGATGAATCGGTGATCTCGACCCCAGCACCCTATTATGGTTAAATAGGTCAACCCTGCATATGGCGTCCCTCGTAGACTGGTGTGAAACTGTTTGCAAAGCCTACACTTGCACGCACCGGTATATACATACGTGATATAAATGCTTACATCTCACTTTTTAACATAAGCCACTTTCGTTACAAATGCAGGCACCGGTATCAGTAGAAACTTTTATAAGTGCCAAAAAAGAGATTTGGTATTGCTGTAAGTTTTAACCAATTAAACTCAAAGACAGAAACAGACAAACAAGTAAACGTTAAGTACTGACGAATAAGTAAGTGAAAGATACTGACGAATAAGTAAACGATAGACACTGACGAATAATTAAGAGATAGACACTGACGAATAAGTTAGAAAGAGATATTAACGAATAAGTAAGAAATAGACACTGACAAATAAGTTAACGATAGACACTGACAAATAAGTAAATGATAGAGACGGACAAATAAGTAAATGTTAGACACTGACGAATATGTGACAGAGACAGATAAATAAGTAAAAGGGAGACATAAATAATTAAGCGATAGACATTGACGAATAAGTAAGAGAGATACACTGACGAATAAGTGATATAAACTGACAAATAAGACATTAAGGAATAAGTGACAGAGACTGATAAATAAGTAAACGTTAAACATGAATAAGAGATAGACACTGACGAATAAGTAAACGATAGACACTGACGAATAAGTGATATAAACTGACAAATAAGTAAATATTAGACATTAACGAATAAGTGACAGAGACTGATAAATAAGTAAACGTTAGACATGAATAAGTAAGAGATATATATACTGACGAATAGGTAAGTGATATAGACTGACAAATAAGTAAACAATAATTACTGATAAATAAGTAAGAGATAGAAACTGACAGATAGGATATAAACACTAAAAATAATTAAGAGATAAACACTGAAAAATAAGTAAACGGTGGACACTGTCATATAACCTCTATTTATCTGAAAGAAATTTAATGACGAATGAAACATGACTCTCTGAAAATCTAGCAAACTGTCGGTTAAGTCTGTTTCGATACTAAGTATGCATTAATGATTGTTACAAAATGGGCACACTATTTATTTATTTTTTTATATTTGTTTCTGTTTTTTTTTTCTTTTCTTTTTTAATCATATCACTCCAAGCCAGGCGGAAATAACACTAGTACCCAGGGGGTTACAGGGAGTGAAATTGAAAGAAAAAACTGAGTATAGGAATGATTGGGGTAAGGACAAAATATGAACAGGATTCAAGAAGACAGAAGATAACGATTGACATTGCATTTAAATCTGAGCTGTTACGTGATATCTGTCCTCCTTTACGACCCTGAGTATTGGACGGTCTCCTCAAAGATGAAGACGAGACTCAAGACAACGGAGGTATGGTTCTACAGGAGGATGCTAAGTATATCATGGACCGAGCGTGTGAGTAACGATGAGGTTTTGGAGAGGATGCAAACAAGGAGGAAGCTTATACTTAACATCAGGAGGAAGCAGCTGAAATTTCTGGGACACGTAATGAGAAAGAGGGCTTGGAGAATCTGATGCTCACAGGTCGAAAAGGGAGAAAGAGAAACAAGGGAAAGCAACGCATGACATAGCTGGTGGGCTTAAGCAAGTGGATAACAGAACGTGGCCTGGGTGAAGTGGCAAAGGGACGAAACTTATTGAGAGCTACAACGGATAGGGTGAAGTGGGGAGCCCTGATTGCCAACATCCTGAAGGGAAATGACACATGAAAAAAGAAAGCTATCAGGGAAGCAAGTGAGAGTAATGAATCTGTTAGAGTAGAGGCGGCGGTTGCATTTAGCTAGTTCAACAGTAAACAGTTGGGACCTAGATGCCAATCTAGTGACAGGCTTAAATTCATGTAATCGTGTCTATAGCGAAAAAAGCTCGTAAGAGCAATTGCCATGGAAATATTGATAGAAAAGACAGAGGAATGCCATGTCTTGTCGGTGAGAAAGTGACTATAGTCCAGATGCCAGGTAAGGATCAATTACATTACAGATCCTTCTTTGGACTTTGTCAAGAACAGCATGATGAATAGCAGGAGCACAAGAACCGATATAGCAGCAGTATTCAATGCACGGAAGATTGATAGATTTGTAAATATGCATCATAGATTCTAACGAAAAAAAAAAAACAAAAACAAACAAAAACAACTCATTACTGCTTCGATAATGCGATAACCCCAGAGATCCAACCGACAATTTAAAACTTCTGCCTGATACACCCATTTCAAGCTGTAGATTGTTCGGGAAAAGACCACACACATATAAGCATCTGTGCACATGCGCACAGACTGGCATAAACACATCTGTTTTGTTTAGAGTTCACATCGGCTCAAGATGCCCACCCATAGTCGCAAGAAACAAACAAGGCCGGTATGTAAAACAATCAAAAGAAAACATGCCAAATAGGCAACCACCCCGGAGAGAAGGATAACACAGTCGACCATGGTAATCTACAGAAGTTCGGGGTCTGGAATGTATCGAAAGATGGTTCTTTTCAATTGTGTTCTTGCCTTTGTCGCAGGGACTCAGACGTTTCAGTCAAAAAAAGCCAACTCGATAATGAAATAGAAATCTGAATCAAACAGCAAAATGTCTTGATTGTCGATTAACTTTTTATTCCGGCCTATTGTTTTAAATGAAACTATTAATGACCACAGAAAAATCTGGCATTAATCTTAAAAATTAAAGTAATTTCCCGGTATTATTTGTAAAAATAAAAGTCCCATATTAATTGTATAAATGAAAATAAAAATTGGTATTAATTGTAAAAATAAAAATCTGGTATTACTTGTATAAATGAAAATAAAAAATCGGTATTAATTGTAAAAATAAAAGTCCGGTATTAATTGTATAAAAGAAAATAAAAATCCGATATTAATTGAAAATTTTTTTTAAAATCCAGTTTGAATTATAAAAACTGAAATAAAAAATTGGTATTAATTATAAAAAATAAAAATAAAAAAATCCAGCATTAATTATTATCGGTTAAATGATTCCTTTTCTCTGGCTTGTCAAACCTTAGCAGGTTATTTAAAGCGAGAAAATATTTTAGATTGTTAAATTATTCTTTTCATTATTTTTTTGTTTGAGATATTAATTTTTTAATGACACATGTCTTGCGAATTAAACCATAGCTTGGAGAGAAGAGGTAGTTACACACCTTTCCATGTGGTATTTGCGAGTAAGTGAATATTAAAAAAAACAACGGAAATTTGAATTCGGCTCTCCAATTAACAATTACAAGCTGTTATTCATTATACCACCTGCATATCGAAGATTACAGACCTGGTATTCACAAGTGGTCGCCCATCCACGTACTGACCAAGCACGACGTTGTTTAACTTAGTTGATCATGACTATGTATACATGTTTAATGTTTATATATTTCTGTATGTTTCTATTTTCGTTACTTTTTTCTTACCATAGAGACCCTGGGGTATTATGGCGCTTGTAGTAAGAATGTGCTGCTTTGGTGCAAGGATATTGTAGTTTGTTTGAGTCAGTGATTGTGGCGAGCTAAGTTTAAGATAAGACAAGCCTTCCCCAAATCGCACTTTTTGGCTTTGTGTCTATGTATCCATATAGATGTTTATTTATTGTATATTTATTTAGGGAATTTTCTCTTACGACTTTGTCTACTTTCTACATATTCATTAATGCTATTAATATTTTGATAGTTAATTACTATAGCTACATTCATTCTTACGGTGGAGTAGTGGATAGCGGCTCTGATTGAGGAATCGTGGAGCCGATTTCGAATTCCAGCCGAATCTATTACATTCACTTACGTGTTAATACCCTTCAGAAAGGTATTAGTCCTCTTTTTCTCCCTCCAGCTATTGGTAAAGAGCAGAACAGACTGGGTTCTATAGCGTTGAATGGCAACTGGTCTAAAATGACAACTCTGAATTCAAAACCTGCGGAGGGTTGTTTGGGGACCTTGTGGCTCTTCAATAAGTGTGGTTGGCTCTGCACAAACCTTCACTACTGCTGGCTGTCGGTTCCTAGGAACCCTCATAGATCTAATACAATGGGAGAGTCCACCATACTCATTCTTATCAGCGTATGCTTACAGAAAAGATCTCCTTATATGTTCCATTCATATCATCACTTTTTTATGCTAGTTATTTTATTATCATTATATTATTATTATATAAAACTGTTCATGTTATATGCATTCCTATTAAAACACTACTCCTATTAAAAGAACTATGAAGACACAGTGAAGAAAAAAACTTTTAGTTGACGTCATCTGACAGTAGCAAGAGATGATAGATGACGCAGAAGCTATGAAAAGTCTTTATCAAGTTCCGTGACAAAAAGGGTTGGTGGTTCTTGTACCGAAGATATTAATGTCCACAAGATCGGAAATTAAGCCCAGTTATAAAAAGAAGAACTTTGTAACTTCGTAATTTTCAAAAACTTTACTATGTACCACATGTCAACTAAATGCAAAACGTTCGAAGAGCATAAAAAAATATTGAAAATGAAATCTTACGTGAAATGTATGATACAACTTGTTACTCCAGGACAGAAAGCTAGGTTAGAGAGGGCGAATATCATCTTGAATAAGTTGGTAAAATCATTCAGGAATATATATATATATATATATATATATAAAAAAAAATTAAACTCCATTAGCTTCCGATTCTTAGCAATGACTAATTAATGGTAAACATGTCATTTTCTTTTATGATCGGTTTCTTCTGGAGAGTAATTATACATTCTAATTGCTCAAAGTAGCGCCCAATAGTGTTATAAAAACTTCTGAGGATTCCAGTAAGATATCTTTAATCATTTCTAAGATACAATGAAAAATCAGTATATATATATATTGTAATCAACAGACTGACTGCATCGCAGCTCATCAGTGTACCTAGACGTCCGGTTACCTCAAGCTAGAATCGAAACCCGCCTGAATTGGCGTCAGTCGGAGATTCTACCCCTAAGCCGTTGGTGCATGGTAGTTATGAAGGTGAATTTAAGCGTATTTATTTTTGGATAAACACATTGAGAGAACTCGAATCGCTTTACCGAAGAGTATTTCATTATTAGCTGTAATAGTCAAATTTTAAAAACTCACACTTCCTCCAGAGAGCTCAACCGAAATAAATTTTTAGGAGCATACATATATATATATATATATATATATATATATATATATATATATAATGTATTTATTTTTAATCCGCCTTTATATTACTTCAAACGTTATTATATATCCGCATTTTATATTACTTCAAACGTTATTATAGTTGATATGTGTAGTTGAAAGACAGGAAGAAAGAGAGAGAGAGAGGGAGAGAGAGATTCAATGTTTTAGATGTTTCATCTATGTATTTCTTGTAAATATTATTAATGTCTGTAGTGTGAATTCCTGCTTCAGGGTGATAATATTTTGCTTTGTATCAATTAAATGTCTTCTTATTCTTGAAGTATTTCCAATAATTTTTATAAGTTTTCAAAAATGTGATCTCTATAACGATTACAATTAAAGAGAATTTTATATATGAATTACTACACAAAATGACGCTGAATTATATTCCAAATAATTTACTTACTCATACACCTACTTTCCGCAGTGTCTTTCGAATTAGGTGACTAACAAAAAGCGTGAAAATAAATGCCTGCACTATATTCGCTGTTCAAATTTTTTAAAACTTTAAGCAACTTAGCATATACGGA